GACAGATCACCGATCAGATTCTCATTGCAAATGAGAGCTTGGAAAGCTTTAGGAAGTCAAAGAAGAAGGGAGCGGTTTGCAAATTGAATTTGGAGAAGGCTTATGACTTGGTTGATTGGTCTTTCTTGATGGAGGTGTTGAGGAGTTTTGGTTTTGGAGACAGGTGGTGTAAGTGGATCTGGGACTGTGTTAGGACTTGCCATTATTCTATCCTGGTGAACGGGACTGTGGTTGACTTCTTCCCTGCATTGAGAGGTCTAAGACAAAGAGATCCTCTTCCCCTTTTCTTTTCACCCTGATTGTTGATGTGCTTGGGAGATTGATCCATAGAGCATACTCGAGGAATTTGATAAGAGGGTGGAGAGTAGAAAGGGAGGAGGTTCCCTTAACACTTCTACAGTTTGCAGATGATACTATACTTTTCTGTGAAGGAGGGAACTTCAATTGGATCCGGAATTTAAAGTTGACAATACAACTCTTTGAGCAGATATCTAACCTCAAGGTAAACTTCGACAAGAGTTGTGTGGCGGGAGTGAATGTGAACGAAAGGGACCTAAGGGAATTCGCAGGTGAGCTAGGTTGTGCAATTACGGACTGGCCCCTGACATATTTGGGCCTCCCTTTAGGAGATAATCCTAAGAGTGTYATCTTTTGGGCTCCGGTAGTGGAGAGGTTTGAGAAGAGGCTAGCGGCCTGGAAGAGAAATTATCTTTCTTTAGGTGGGAGAGTCTCTCTCATTAGGTCTACCCTAGCTAACCTACCTGTTTATTATCTGTCGGTGTTTAAGATCCCCTCAAAGGTTTTAAATCTTTTGGAAAAATTAATAAGGAACTTTCTCTGGGAGCCTGGAGAGGAGAAGAGAGATCATAGGGTGAGGTGGTCACTAGGTGTAAAAAACTTGGAGGTCTTGGGATTGGTAATTTCAAAAAAAGGAATATGGCTCTACTGGGGAAGTGGTTGTGGAGGTTTTCATTGGAAAGGGATAAGTTGTGGACTAAGATTGTGGCTAGCATTCACGGGTTGGAAGACAATGGCTGGGATCCTGGAATCTTGGCAAGGGCTTCAACTGCTTCTCCTTGGAAATCCATTCACAATCTGCTTTCAGTTTTCTCCCTTTGGATCAGGTATGGTCTAAACTCTGGTAACCGAATAAAATTATGGGAACAACTTTGGGTCGGGGATTCTCCTCTGAAAGACCAGTTTCCTTCCTTGTATGCTCTATCAAACTTGAAAAATGAACCCATATCTATTTATCAAAAAAAAAAATGAACCCATATCTTCTTTCTTGGTCCCTTCAGCCTCCACTTCTGGCTTTGGATGGAACCTTGGCCTGCGTAGGGCAGTTAGGGATACAGACTTGGATAGCTTGGTAGCTCTGCTAGCCTCCCTTGAGGGTGTCTTCCTAAACCCTGCTAAGGAAGACACCAGATTTTGGACCCTTTCTAGCTCTGGTACCTTTTCTTGTGCTTCTTTCTTTGAAACYTTAACTCAGCCTCCTACCCCCCTGGGGTTGTCCTTTCCAGTTAAGGAAATTTGGAGCAGACCTATTCCTCCTCGGGTGGGGTTTTTTTGTTGGGAAATTTTCCTGGAAAGAATCAACACTTTAGACTTACTTCAGAGAAAGAGACCCAACTATTGTCTACTTCCTAATAGATGTGCTCTTTGTAAAGCTGATGGGGAATCTGGCTACCACCTCATGGTCTCTTGTAAGGTTGCTAAAACTGTTTGGGAGTGGGTTTTCTCCCGTTTTGGGTGTTCTTGGTATCCTCCGGAGACTGTCCAAGGTTTGTTTTCCCCATCTYTTTTCAGTTGGCCTAAGAAGCGAGGGAAGACTATGTAGAGGTGTATTAGGGAAGCTGATGAAAATAAAATTTGGCATATCTTTATCCCTCAATATTTAGTATTTTGCACTTAATTGGTACCTAATTGGACTCATTACTCTTGTATTTCGATTCAGGGCAAGCAGATAGGCGATTGGAAGAAAACAAGGCTAATTGGATGTCTTTGCACAGTTTCGGCACCGATCAATGATATGGGCATAACTCTCAATTCCGGACTCCGATTTGGACATTTCAAGAAGCACCGGAAAGATAAGGAAAAGGCCCACAACCTTTATGTTTTGGGTTTTGGCAGAATCGTTCCGCATCGAAGACGAATTCGGGCCCAAAGTCGGAGCAATTTCGCAGCAAGAACTATTTCACAAGCTGAAGCCCATTTCGCAGAAGAGTCTTGAAGCAAGCCCGAA